TTACCAGGAATACATAGGCCTACCTAACTTTGTTCTGCGTTGCCTGTGCTTGATATGCCGATAAGGGCGTGTGTAGTTCTCAGGGACCTGCAGGGGAGAGTGGACGCTCTGGAAGGGCAGGTACAGGAACATAGGATCTCTAGGACTCCGAGACTCTAAAAGGTTCTCCACGTAGGATGCCAGAGCGTACTGGGTAAAGAAGAAAAAAAAGAAGAAAGTTTAACAGAAAGTGACAAATTCGAAACAGCTCGGGAGGCAAATTAACCAGACAAACATACCTCGCTTTAAAGAATTGTATAATTTCATAAAATCAAAAGTAAGACAGATAACAGATGAATTTTGCTGATGTTTTTTTTTACCGTTGAGTAAGTTCCATCCACACTCAAGTCCGGGGTTGTGTTGTTCCGGAAGTCGTAGCCAAACCTGGTACCTTCTTTCGCTGAAGATTATGGTTATTATGAAGATTATGAAGATTATGAAGATTATGAAGATTATTATACAATAGCGTTAGTATTTATTAGAACTGATGTAGGTAATCATCATATGTTGAACGGTAGATATATGATAAACCGGGAAATAAAGCGGGAAAAGTGTCTGAGGAAGGTATAAGAAATCATATATTCATTATTTCATGGATGTGTGCATTATTTATCTTTTTTTTATTTACTTTACTTTTATTTTAATATCATCATCATTATTATTATCATTTGTGTGTGTGTTAGTGTGTGTGTGTGTGTGTGTGTGTGTGTGTGTGTGTGTGTGTGTGTGTGTGTGCGTGTGCGTGTGCGTGTGCGTGTGCGTGTGCGTGTGCGTGTGCGTGTGCGTGTGCGCGTGCTGTGTGCGCGTGCGTGTGTGCGTGTGCGTGTGCGTGGCGTGTGCGTGTGCGCGTGCGCGTGCGTGTGCGTGTGTGCGTGTGCGTGTGCGCGTGCACTAAAACCGAATTCTTACTTAAATGTGACGGATACTTCACGTCGTTTGGCATCTCCTTCCTTCCCGTCTGAAGTCGGAAGTGGTGGAAGTAGTCCTCGGCGCCCGTGTAGTAGCCGTAGAAGGTGTCGAAGCCTCTTCTGGTCGGGGTGTACCTCCAGCTGCAGAATCCGAGATGCCATCTGCCAGGAACGAACAGGTTGTTAGTCGTAATGCTTTCGAGATATTTGACGCAAAAAAAAAAAGAAAAGAAAAGAAAAAGAAAGAAGGAGAAGAAGAAGGAGAGGAGAAGGAGAGGAGGAAGGAAGAAGGAGAAGGAGACAAAGAAGAAGAAGAAAAGAAAAGAATCAAAAAAAAAAAGAAAAGAAGGAGAAGAAGAAAAAAGAAAAAACAAAATATATATATATATATATATATATATATATATATATTATATATATATATATATATTATATATATATATATATATATATATATAAATTGAGAGAAAGGGACGAATAAAGAGGGGACATAAAGCATATAAACGTTAAGAAAAACTATAACTTTATAAGCGGACATAGCTGATAAACAGACTCATATAAACCATATAGACGCCAAAACTTAACTAAAGATGGGGTCATGGCTGATGGAGAGAGCATGACTATATTGACATAACCTATAGATTTACGACGGGACAGCTGATAAATAACTACCGCTTAACATAAACCATAGAGACGCTAAAACAAACACACCGGGAAATGGTTGATGGAGAGAGACATAAACCCAAATAGACGCTTAGAAAAGCTAAAATGTAGACAGGGACATAGCTAATACAGAAAGACATAGACCGTAGACGCAAATAAACAATAGCAACAACAACAACAACAACAACACCAATGACGGGGGCATAGGAGACGAAGAGAGACATAAACAAGCCTAGATAAAAAAACAAAGGAACTACGGTTAGCTTACTTGCCCACGGCGTGTGTAGAATAGCCCACTTTCTTCAGGGACTCTGGGAGGAGGGTGGCTTTCAGGGTAAGGCCTGTGGGCTCCTTCGGCCACAGCACTCCATGCTGAGGATACGAAAAGGAATAAGAAAGGATCACTAAGATAAAGAGAGGGAACACGTCACTAAGATAAAGAAAGGGGATACGTCACTAAAGAGAGGGAATACATCACTAAAATAAATAGAGGGGATACGTCACTAAGATAAAGAGAGGGGATACGTCACTAACATAAAGAGAGGGATACGTCACTAAGATAAAGGGAAGAGATTCGTTACTAAGATAAAGAAAGGGGATACGTCACTAAAAGAGAGGGAATACGTCACTAAAATAGAATAGAGGGGATACATCACTAAGATAAAGAGAGGGGATACGTCACTAACATAAAGGGAAGAGATTCGTTACTGAGATAAAGAAAGGGATACGTCACTAAAAGAGAGGGAATATATCGCTAAAATAAATAGAGGGATACATCACTAAGATAAAGAGAAGGGATACGTGACTAGGATAAAGAGAGGGATATGTGCCTAAGATGAAGAGAGGGGATACGTCACTAAGAGAAAGAGAGGGGATACGTCACTCAAGAG